GACTAAATCAAGAACTGCCTCTCCCCTTGTGGGTACCAGGACTAGCTGCTCCAAGAAGCAATTATTTAAAGGTGTCAAGAAACTTTATCTCTTCATCCCGTCCTGGAGGTGACATGTACCCAGTCAATAATGGGGATAATTGATTAGTGAGTTTTTTATTTTAATAGTCTCTGGAATCTCCCGTAGCATCTCACAGTCACTATCACCATCCTGGTCAGGCGGTCGGTAGTATCTCTCTGCTGCTATATTCTTATTATTCAGGAATGTAATTATTATCCATAGTGATTCTATGGTACAGCTGTATTGGCCATCGACCATGACAGTGCTGTTGTGAGCAGCTTGCTCGGAAGTCGCCGGGTTTCTGCTTCCATTAGCAGCCACCCAGGAGCCTGCCCCACAGAGCAGAAATCGACGCACTTCTCTCCATACAGAGTTGGTGGCTAAAATGCAGTTTGCAGGTCAAAACTGCTCCAAGGAGTTCTCCAACTGGCTAGTGCAACAGAGTTTCAGCAGGAGATGTTTCATTCCCAGCCAGACAGCCTTGTTGCTGGAGAGGTGCATGCTGGGAGCTGGAGCTAGAGCTGGGCAAAATGTTTGCAGCAAATAGTAAATTTGCTGAATAATGCATTTTGGGGGGTATTGAAACTATTCGCAAATTCAGGTCAAATTTGAGTAATAGTTTCAACCAAAATAAAATAAAAATGAAGAATTCCGAAATGTTTGTGAAACGAATCATTCCCACATGTAGTTTTGAATCAAGAATGAAAAGTTTTGTTCAACCCGAATTCATTTTTTTTCTTTTGGTTTTTCATTTCAGCGAGAAAAAACTGAAGGAAAAAAAAATCAGTTTTGATTAGAAACCAACCAAATTCTTTTTCTGTATTTTTCAGTTTAGCCCCCAAACAAAAGAATCAGTTGTTTGCGCAGCCCTCTCCTCTTCATGGAGTGTTGCCTGGAACCAGCAACGTGAGACAGCAGTCACTCAACACGCATGTCACACACGAAGGACGACGCACAGCACCAAACCTAACTATTGAGGGGAAGAAGAGAGTATACAGGGCATGGATCTACATGGAAAAGGAATGTATCCTACCCCAGGAACTCATGCAAATACATACCTGCGTGTGAATCCTCATACAATTACCCATTCACAAAAGCATGCACATGTGGCCCTCGACAGGTCTTTCTGGCCTTGAGAATCATTCATTCAGAAGGCAGGAATAGTACCATGTGATATAGGTGACCCCCCCACACAGCACAGGCAGTGGATTACAAACAGCAAATGTTTTGCAGCAATAGTAGCATTAGGCAGTTTGCGAGCCACCCATCGGCTCAGCTCAGCCCTCAGATAGAGCGTGCAGCTGTACAACCAACGTGTTTGGGGACAAT